AGACTATACTTCAAGGTGGCCCCCATGTTCAATGTACGAAATCTAATGTGTATCTATATCACTTATCGCTATCGCCCCGGGTCAGGTATAATATAACAGGCACGGGTCGTCAGTTAGTTATCCAACGTTGCGTCGGTGACAATACCTTCGAACTGCGAGTCACCTCATTAGTGACAAAAGTAACTCGATATTCATGTGTTAATTTTTTATTATTATCAATATTATATTAAAATTATTATTATCAATAAATTATACAGTCCACTAGTTTATTTTTGTATTACTTATTCAAATTGAAACTGAGCCGAGACACTTACTTTTGAAGCTCTAATAATACAAGACCGCCACATTCAATATTATTATTTTTCATCTAGCCACTAAAAATATGTATCAGTATTGAATTATATAATGTTATTAAGCTAATTTTTAAAGCAAGTGAGGCATTTTTACTCTATGGGGCAGTACCTACCTATATAAAATATACGTATTTTAATTTATCCAATTAATCACTGAAGTCAAAATTCAAGACTTCTTCGATATTTAGAGTTCAGTTGGTCGATATTGCATTTTCTTATAATAAAATTGTGATATCGCAGCTGTCATACGAAATACTACTGCAGTCTTGCGTGTTTATAAATAGAAATGTTTTACTAAATTTGTTTAAAAAAATTGTGAAATGCTATAAGTCTAACTTTGTGGGTTTATATGAGACTATTTCATAATAATTGAAAAAGTGTTTGTAAGTTTTTAAGTTTTTATAGTACCAAACGCATAGGTAAAGAACTATCTTTGAATAGCTTTTTCTCAAAACTAAACTTTTTCAATCGTGGCAGTATTGTTCTATAGTGATGAACTCGACAGTGAATGACAATGAACACAAATATCGACTATATTTTGTTCAAATTTAGGCGTCCGAGCAAAAAATGAACAAAAGTATTATGGAAGCCGAGAGCAACGAAGACAAAATGGCAGAAGTGTACAACGCGATCACAGGAGACTTTTTGACGGAAAATCCCGAACTCGGGTTCAACAGTGCTTTAGGGCCCGGAAAAATATCGACGTCGCTCTACAAAGGATTAACGCCGGCCATGAAACAAGCGATATACGATGAACAAGCCAGTCAAAGAGCAGAACTTAAGGTATTTCATCTTCGTACAATTAAGAATAAATTAAAATTACTAATGAGTAATGATCGAAATAGTTTATTATTAATTTTATAATAATATTTACCTACCTAGCTGTCCCGCCCGGTGTAACCCGTGATAAAGATTTTATTTTTTTTTGTAAAAATATTTGTAAAAAAATGTGTATTGGTATATGCTATTAGGTACGATTTGTGTAAATTCTCATTTCGCCTTGAACCCACACTAACCTCAACAAGTTAGGGGATTTTAAAAATGTATATTATGCACGTATTTATGGGTGTATCTATTATTATATATTTCATCCCCCCTTGTAGAATTCCTAAATAAGCCACTGCATAATATAGTTGCTTAATTACTATGTAGTGTGTACTAATAGTACTAGTAACTAGTATATAATTGTTTTGAAAATTTTGATGAACATAATTCAAAATTCAAATGGGTAGTAGTTTCTTAGTTGTTAAAATGTTTGTACTAAGGATAATAGTTATTAAAAATAGTTTTACAGAAGTATAAAAAAAACGTAATATTTGATCTAGTATTTATTATACATATATTTGGGCCATTTACACAAATTATTAATGTTGATAGATTAATATTAATTATTAGATTTTTCAATTTAAAATAGCTCACATATCTATTATAAACCCGTTCCAGGATCATTCAACAGAAAGTTAAGTCACTTAAAAACTACTGGTAAACATTTTTATTCTGATTCGTCAAATTTTCCAAAATAATTATCCACTGAATGATTCACAGTTGAAAAACTGGACACTCATTAAGAAGTAAAAAAAATCTCGAGCATTTTAAAATATTATGGTCTTTCAGTGAATTTAAAAATTCCAAAAAACAGATTTTGAATAACTGCATATTTTTATTGAATAAAAAAAGAGGAAGGACATGCTTATCGAATCATCCTGTAATAAAAATATTTTTATTTGTACACAATATAGGTACATACTACTTTTTTAGTTTTAAAAATCCAAAATATTACGACTGTTCTTAAATATTAGAATTTATTATTATTTTAGAATCGGGTCGGAGCGATGAATTGATAGATTTTACAATATTATGTGCTTTATTTCCCAAGAATAAGAACTCAACAATGGTCCGTATAATATTATTTTCTTTAAAATTTAAATAATATGTAGGTAATTCTTAATTTAAAAGAATAATTCACCAACATATTATTAATATAAAATATGTATAAATCTAACATTAAAATAGCAATACCAACTCTTGTCAGGATTTGAATTGGACAAAAATTAAGACAATTCATTTAGGTGCTTTTAAATGAATTCGGGTTATTTTTGTAATTAACTACAAATATTTCAGAATTTATTGGTAATGTATCGAGAGTTATAGTAGATATATAATATTGTATGCCCTCTCCGTCCATCAAGTATCCTTAATAACACCCCAATTCATCAATATTAAGAACTAACAAATAAACAGAAAATAGTAAAATTGGTTTTATATAATTTCAGATACGAAAATAGGCATACGATAAACAAGAAAAAGATTGGGCCGATCTTTTAAATATACTGGCCAGGTGCGGCACACTCAGCGATCGAGAAATGCAAAAGAAAAAAAGGTATTTATAATACTCTTCTAAGAAGATTTAGTTTTAATGTTGAAACAAAAATGTGTGGTCACAATCTAAAACGTCGTGGTATTGCCATTTTTTCAAAATCGAGTTATTTACTCTATCTATACATAATAACTTATTAATGTTAAAAAAGGCGGTAATTAAAAAAAAAATCAATTCTGTTTTACCTATCTGTAGTATTGTATAGGTTTAAACGGGTTTGAAAATTTGTTTTTCCCCAAAATTTACAAAAGAAACTGATTTTTGTTCACGTTCGTAAATAAAATTCGTTCATATTCATTTTTTTTTTATATATTATGAAGGAAACAGTTCCAGCTTCATTCCTACAAAGATAACTCGTTTTAGGAATCGGGTCATCCTTTTAGAACGTGTTTTTTCTCGACACTGTATGAAATTATTCATAAATGTATACACATAATTTGATGCAACAGAAAGACATAACTATTCTAAATACAAATTTATACCTATTTTTCATTATCTTAGACATAATAGTGTATGGGGAAATAAAGAAAACTGGTTTTATTTATATTTTTTTCCCTTAATAGTGGGACAAATTATGGATTTTAGAAAATTTGATACCTAATGTCCTAATATTTCATTACCTACAAGTTTTAACTTGTAATGGCTTACAGATTATTTTGATGATTTTTCGAATTACCTATCTAAATAATTATATTATACAACATTAATTGATTGAACGTCTTAAATGGTAAATAATACATTTTATTTATATACTTTTAGAAACTTGGAAGATGGAATAAAGGACTTCAACTTAGTTCTAGCTAACGAACAGAAAAATAAAGAAGAGTATTTGAATAACGTTTTGTACAAAACTAAAGCTTCGAATGAATTTTTTGATCAGTTTAATAAAACCAGTCGTTAATACACATATACCTACTTTTAGTCAAGTGGAAAATATATTATTTTTTTTAAGTATTTCAATGACTCAATGTATCTGTAAACAATTTCAAAGTTATGATTGTAAAATATAATACAATATTGAACTCTGGTAAATATTAAAATATAAAACGCATTAACTATAATAAAAAATACGCCTCCTGCTTCTCTGAAGCCTTATTTTAACCATGTATTGAGGCATAGTAGCCCTGTGTGCATACTCTACAACACCATGATATAATTAACTATGTAACTATGTTAATTTTATCATGCGCTACACGTACGTTTTTCCATCCTAAATCATTAAAACATGTATTAGCCCTTAAGAATCGCTCTCTTTTGAACTGCAGTCTGTAATATTATCACACAAAATAACTTATTAAACATATTCAATATGACAATATAGCAAACGTTCACTCAGTAACCAAATGTTGAGGTTTTAAAAAAAGTTTAAATATAGGTACCAAATATTTGACATTTATTTTAATAACAATTATTGTGTTAACTAGTTAACTATTGTTGGTTACTATAAGAAATTCACAAGGTACAACAATTATCGATAATTCAATAATTAAGATACGGTAATATAATACCTTATCTGGTATTATATTACCTTATCAATGTGTAGGTACCTCTACAAGTAAATTAATATATAGTCCACTAGAACTTAAACGAGTAGGTTCTCGTAGGCTCGTTGACAAAATAAATATTGATTTTACTTGGATATATATTTGGCTCCAACTGGAAACTACTTGAAAATTCTACAACTAGTGGTTCTACTTCATTTATGTAACAACCGAGTAACTGACAATGCAAAATTCCAAATAAAAAATAAAAATGCTTATAACACCCTTAAAACGAGGATATAAATTTGGTCAAATACTCAATAAGTAGTTCCTCTTTTTACTAATATAAAAAATTGGGCAAGTGCATACAGCTCGTTCACTGATTTCATTGATTTCAAAATTGTAATTATGTACCTACCTACTTTATAGTTAATTAATTACCTATTCGAATCCGCAAAATAAAATTTCATATTTTTAACTGCGATGACTTGATATAGATTTTTATATTACCTAGCATTTTTTCAGCTTTGATAATATATTCATTCTTGGAAATTGTATATTAAAACAAATATCAATGAATACAATAAATTGTTAATGTTAGATTAGGAAAATAAACACAGAGAAGAAATTATTAGGCTAAACCCGTTCAAAACCATTTCACAGTATCCAGCACCAGGATAATGAACCATGTCAAAAACATGATTAAAAAATCAATGTGCGTTTTTTCCACAACAGTTTAAGCGATTACATTTTTAGAACCAATTGATACTCATTACTGTAAACTATTATTATTATTACTTCCGCAGTCGGAAAAAACGAAAATGTGACTTGTAATTTGTATAATTCGTAGAAAAAAAGTAGCCTAGTTTCATGAGCAAATAGACAAAAGTGAGTTAGTGAGTATTTGTGTTAAATCGGTCAACGGGATAAGTTGTGTTTGCGTTAAACGGAAAACGCGATGGAACAGGATAAAGACTACATACTACCTTTTGAACCTTCCAATTGGGAAAAATGGAAGAGATCTATAATGATATTTATATTGTCTCAAAATATAACTAAGGATACACAAAAGCAAGCTATCATACTGCACAGAGGTTGACAAGAGCTACAAGATATTTTTTTGGAATACCAGAGCATGGTAATCCACCTGATGGAACCGTTATCAACACACAATAAATTTGTTAGATCAGCACTTTATACCAAAGGTAAATCCAGTATTTGAAAGACATGTTTTCATGAAAATAAGACAAGAAGTTAATGAGTCAGTCGGACAGTTTATATCAAAGCTAAGACAACAAGTAGCTAAATGTGGTTTTGCTGATGCTGACACAGAGATGTGTGATCAAATTATAGAACATTGTACATCTGACGAACTTAGACGGAAGTTACTCGAGAAAAATAACTTGAGCTTGTCAGAAATCATAGAAGAGGCCAAGCGGTTCGAGTTAGTAGTGCAACAAGCAGATACACTTGGAAAAAACGGAAAAGAAATGGTAAATAAAGTTACAATGTATGAAAAAAAAAGCAGTATAAAATGGAAAAGTTGAAAACCAGAAGTAAGGCATGTTACAGATGCGGGAACGAAAATCACTTAAAAAATGATCCTAGTTGTCCGGCGAAAGACAAAAAATGTGGGCGTTGTGGTTTAATCGGGCATTTTAAAGCGTACTGCCGAACAAAGTTACCTGCAAATATAAAAGAGCCAAGTAAAAGATATTCACAGCAAATGTCGAGGAGTAATAAAATAAATGCAGTCGAAGAAGCAAAAAGTGACGATGAAGCTATAGTGTTCCAAATATCAAAAAAAAAAGATTTGGTGACAAATGTGGTAATACGCAAAGTTGGTGGCACAGATGTTAAATTCTTAATTGATTCAGGATCAAGTTGTAATATAGTATTAGAACAAACCTGGAAAAGAAATAAAATCAATTATGAAAAAAAAGAAAGTGAAGTATCTCAAAAGTTATATGCATACTCTAGCAAGAAAACACTTGAAGTCATATTAA